TGTAGATAAATGTAAGGTGATGCACTTGGGTTAAGAATATGCATGCATCATACATACTAGGGGGGAGGTGGTGTACAACTGGGGGAATCAATGGTGGAGGAGGATCTGGGAGATCTGGTAGATCACAAGCTTAATAATGGCATGCAATGCCAAGCTGCGGTTTCTAAAGCGAACAAAATCCTCTCTTGTATTAAAAGAGGTGTAGACTCCAGAGAGAGAGATATCATATTACCCCTGTACAAATCATTAGTAACACCTCATCTGGAATATGCAGTTCAGTTTTGGGCACCAATTTACAAAAAGAACATTGGGGAATTGGAGAAAGTACAGAGAAGGGCAACCAAACTGATAAGAGGCATGGAGGAGCTCAGCTATGAGGAAAGATTAGCGGAACTGAATTTATTCTCTCTTGAGAAGAGGAGATTAAGGGGGGATATGATCAACATGTATAAATACATCAGTGGTTCATATAGTGAACTCGGTGTAGAGTTATTCACCTTGACATCATTACAGAGGACAAGTGGGCATGCTTTACATCTGGAGGAAAAGAAAATTAATCTCCAAATAGGGAAAGGGTTCTTCACAGTGAGAGCTGTGAAAATGTGGAATAGACTCCCTCAAGACTTGATTCTGGCCAGCTCAGTGGATTACTTTAAAGAAGGCCTGGATTCTTTCTTGGATACACAGAATATAATTTGTTACTAACATTTATAGGTAAAGTTGATCCAGGGAATATCCGATTGCCTCTCGGAGGATCAGGAAGGAATTTTTTACCTTGCAGGAGCAAATTGGTTCATACTTTTCTGTTTTGGGGTTTTTTTTTTTTTTGTTGTTTTTTTTTTGTTTTTTTTCCTTCCTCTGGATCAGCTGTGGGTGTAGGATTATAACTTTTTTTTTTTTTTAATGGTTGAACTGGATGGAATTTTGTTTTTTTTCAGCCAGACTAACTATGTAGCTATAATGTGACAGTGACATCTCAGTGTATATACAGACTGTGAGAGTATAAATCACTTGCTCTCCGGAAGATTTACCTCCCTTCATGACCAGGCCATTTTTTGCTGTTTGGCGCTGTGCTATTTCAACTGATAATTGCGCGGTCGTGCAATGCTGCTCCGAAATGAAATTTATGTCCTTTTTTTCACATAAATAGAGCTTTCTTTTGGTGGTATTTGATCACCTCTGTGGTTTTTACTTTTTGTGCCATAAACAAAAAAAGACCGAAAATTTTGAAAAATAACATTTTTGTTTACGGTGTTTTTAGGAATGTCGGGGCTTTTAAAAACAAGAGTCATTATGGCAACTTAAACGTGTAATATTTTTAACATTGCGTTTTATCTCCTCCTCCCCTCCCTGCCTCTCTCCAGCACCGCACCCGGGGACTAGCAGAGAGGGGAGATACCTTGCAGTGTGATGAACTATTGGCTGCACCTCCAGAAAGGGTGGGTCAGGGCTTATACTTTATCCCTTTCATTGCCAGAGCCATTTTTGCTTTTTTTTTTGCACAATGTTTAAAAAATAATTTTAGGCCTGAAGATTACCCCCAAATATTATATATTTTCTGAAAGCAGAGACCCTAGAGAATAAAATAGTGGTAGTTCCAATTTTTTATGTAGCATGATTTTAATGCAAAATTTTAGTAAAGAATACGAGCAAGTTAATTTTAGGGCACAAAAAAAAGCAATAAATTACCCTATTTTTTTGTAAAATATAAAAGATGAGGTTGCATCAAGTAAATCGATATCCAACTTGTCAAACCTTAAATTTGTGCGCGATCGTGAGATGGCGACGGACTTTAGTACTCTATATTTTCTACAAGTCAACACTTTTAAAGCTCCTTATAGCGCACATGTTTAGCATTATGGAGGCGGTCTGGTGCTAGCATTATTTCTCTCATTCTGGCGTGCGCAGTGATAGGTAAACGTGTATCGCAATTGGCGGTTTCATGCGTAGGCGCCCCTGCATGTGCTTTTACGTTTGTATGTATATGTGGGGGTGGGGGCCTCCTATATTTTTTTTTTTTTTTTTGGGGGGGGTGGGTATGTGCTTGGGTGCAACTTTCATTTTTTACAATAAAAAAAAACAAAAAAACTTTTTTTTAATTTTTTTTCATCACATAGGGGACAAAGTCCGATAGGAATCCAACATCCCTGACCATTCAGTCCAGCGACGTACCAGTACATTGCTGGTCCATGTTGGGCATATATGTAACAGATAACATGGGCATATGATGGATCGGGTCTGTGAATCAATATGACCACAATTCATTCTTTTTTGTAATGCCCATGTTGAGGGTTAGGCCCAAAAAAGTTTTATATTCAGAAGCCGTGATAGGTTTCCATGCGAATTGTCTGACAAGAGGTGAATTTGGGTGGGCGGCAATGTATTGTGCGTATAAATTGCTTTGGCCCACAATCAATTGCTACAAATCTTCCATTAAAAAGAGCGGAGAGGCTAACCACTAGTGCTGGCAGTGAACAGGGTTGATCCTGCTAACACTGCGTTTTTGGGGACACTATACAAAGGAGGCACTAGTATAGTTCTGTTTGTGATCAATATCTTGATCCGTACAAACACTATACTAGTAATGGCGGTGATCAGCGACCTATAACATGAGTGTGATAGTGTGTGGGCAATCTAACGCTAGCTGATCCTGGCTGGGAGGGGCGTTAACTGACCCGGATGCTATCTGATGTTGCTAGTGGCAGGAATACAGTGATCAGTGAAAAATTCTACTGACACTGTGTTAATGGCACAGCAGGGTGACGGAGCGATCAAAGGGTTAATAGGGGCGATCAGAGGGTTAAATGTGCTAATCTATCGTGTGCATGTAAAATGTGGTGCTTTTATTCGGTGCCGCGTTCACACCCATCGGCGCAGGCGCGTTCACACCCAAAATAGGTCTTAAGATTATGTCGCTTTGCCCAGAGCCGCTGCTCGCCCGCAAAATGCAGGTAAGCGGTCAGTAAGTAGTTAAAAAAAGAAAAGAAACATTTTAAATACCATATTGAGAATTTTTTACAAAAAAAAGTTTAAGGGTGTTTTTTTCCTATAATTTTATCAGAATAGCACAATGTTACCATAGTAACAGTTTACTACTGTTTGGGGGGGGGGGGGGTCAGGGGTGTTTTTTTTTTTTTTTTTTTTTTTACACTTTGCTTTGCCGGAGAAATAAAGATAATTTCTCCTGCAATGCAAAGCTTGCTGTCATAAACCTAACTCAATCATGAACTGTCATGAATGAAGTAGGTTTTTGACAGCTCAAGATAGTGATCTGTGATTGGCTGGAGCTGGTCACTTGGTACAGGAATAGGATAGGATCTGTGATTGGCCCCATGTATCATGTGACAGCTGTGGGCCAAGGAAGAGAAACAGCTGTTATGAACGGGATTGATGCATAACAGCTTTGCTTACATTGTGATCATCCATTTACCGGGATCTTCATTCCGCTGTGTCCACAGCGGAGGGGGGGGGAGCGCTGCGAGCCCCCTGTGTTAGTACGGCCATAGCTGCTGCAGTACATTGCGGGTGGGTGGGAAGCTGTTAAAATTAAATAAAGTTAACAAAAAAAAGCTAACTATACTAACAACAAAAAAAACACAATAAATTAACACCACACACCATACCCAGACACACACAATGAACAAATGGGATCCACAGATACTAAAGAATTCTAATACACTATACAAATTAGTTAATCTAGCACAGGTTAAAACTAAGTTTAGAAGCCTAATTTTAGCATAATGCTGAATAGATGCAGCAGTAAAGGTTATAAGCGCTAGCCGTTTATTTACACATCTTTTGCATATCTTTACATTTTATTGTTTTACATTTTCATACTTTTTTTTTATTTTTAAACTCTGAACAATTTTAGTTTTTTGTTTTTCTGTGTCACTATAACAATATTATTTTTAAGGAAAATATAATTTTAATAAACATTTATGCAGGTACAGTATCTATATTTTTAGAAAAGATCCTTTGCAAACCTTACAGTCTATAGTGCAAAATTGGACTGGGTTTTCTAACATCTCCCAGCAAAAGAAGGGTTAGTGGAGGCAGAAACAAATGTGCGTTTACTGAGCAACAATGAATTTTACTTTAAAATGTGTACTCTTTTAATAATATTAAACTAGTACAAAACTTAAAAACAAAAATCTCAGTTTGATTAGATGATTTGGAGGGCACAGGAGAGAGATGAGAACTCGCAATAAAGAGGAAACTGTCACGGCCCATACTATCATAAGATATGTTGTTTATCCCTTGCCATAGCAACAAAAAAAATAAAGGTACAGTGTCAAAAAATACATCTAAATAAAATAAATAACAAATGAAAACCTTTTTAAGTGCCCCTGTCCACCCCTGCTTATGTGCAAATGCGAACATGCACATCGGTCCTGCTTGCATATGTAAACAGTGATTGCACAACATGTGAGGGTATTGTTGCAAATGACAGAGTGAGAGCAATTCTAGTTCCAGACCCCCTGTGTAACTCTAAACTGATAATTTGTAAAGGCTTTTAAAGCATCACCTATGAAGATTTTAAGGTACCGTAGTTTGTTACTGGTCCACGGGCGTAGCAGTTTTAAAATGTTAGGTATCGATTTAATCAGCATAAAACCATTTTTTATATTTTACCAATAAATTGGTTATTATATTGTGTCTGTGTGCACTAAAATTCATTAAAGGGTATTTTTCTTGAAATTTTGGGTTTGATAAACCACTGCACAAATATCATGCACCATAAAAAATTGCAACAGCAAACCATCAGAAATAGAATTGTCAAGCTGACATCTTCAGCTACACCATTGTGGCCAGTCCACTACTGTTTGTTTCTGAGACCCACACTTGTATGGTCAGTAACACAGATCCTTTGTAACTGACTGCTTGAGTCAGTAGTGGGGGAGCTTTCTCATGTCATGTGTAATTTACATAGCCTGATGTTTTATTCCCGCTGCATCTCATTTGAAAGACAAAGTGCCAGATCTAACAGTACAATATTTTTTCAGGGACGATGCTCAAGGGAGAACTGCAAATATCTTCATCCGCCAACGCATCTAAAAACCCAGCTAGAAATAAATGGCAGGAACAATCTTATTCAGCAGAAAACAGCTGCTGCCATGCTTGCCCAGCAGATGCAGTTCATGTTCCCGGGTACACAGCTGCAGCCAGTGGTGAGTACACTTTACATGCTGAGCATAGACACTTGTAAACATCTGCCCAGATTGACTATCTGTGTTGGTTATAGCTGTAATTCCTTCTCTTTTCTGCTCCCATTAATTGCTGTAAAACAACATTCTCCTGGAAAGAGTGACTAAAGAAACTGAGAGGCTGCAGGATAGACTTGTCTTTTAATCCTTGCTTGCACACAGGTGTGAACCAACATCACTATGCACATGTGTGTTTGTGTTTTTTTGAGCTTGCTTACTGTAGTGGTTAGTAGTTGCTGTAAGCAAAGATCAGTCTGTTATTGTCACTATCCAAGCCAGTGGGATCTGCTAAGTAACCTGAGATTTGCAGACTAATATCCCCATATACACATTTACACAGATAAAAAACAAAATGTTTTGCCAATAAACATGGGTTCATTCTTATCAATATTTCTAGGAGCGAAACAATTTTACTTTTGTATTCTAATACAACGTATAATATAATATTTTTAATGGCTCAGGTATACCTTTCTATGTGTAACAGCTTAAATTATGTTTTATATTTGGAAATCGTGTAAACATGCGGCAGTGGTAGTATCTTGGACATTTTTGGGTTGTCATTCAGTCACAGCCACATGTTGTTTTAGGTGCTGAAAGGTGTTGAAAAGAAGTAATAATAGAATAAACAATATCAAGGGGATTTCGACTAAAGAATGTTTGAACCTATCTTCTCTTCCTAACCTTAGAATCAATACTAGGAGGATGATGTACATCAGAATCTGTCTGTTTATAGCCAGAAGTCATTCCAGTTTCAGCTCTGCAGCCTCAATAGTTTTGTTCTGATCATACAGTTTATTATTATTGTAACTGATGTGATTTGTTACCAGAGCACATTACAGCATAGATCGGGTATTCAGAGTATGTAAAGAACCGCTGTCCATGGGAAACCTATCGTGCCATATGCTGTAAATTAAAGCAGAACCTCAGGTTTCAGTGAATTTTAAATAGTTTGAACCAAGCCCACCTCTCTGCCTCAGCCAATCCAGAGAAAGCTTTGTATTCATTCATAGTCTGACTTGATTTTGTTCTCAGAGTGGGAGGGAACTTCCCATCCCATCGCCAGAACACAGCACTGTACACTGTATGTAGCTGAGGCTACATACAGTTTATACAGCGCATGCAGACGCTGCAGCTGTTGGGAAAATAATTCGCTTTTGAACCAGATTGGTCCAAACCAAATATTTAAATGTTCCTAAAATCTGGAAATCTGCTCTAAATTTGGAAAAACACTGTTTTCTAATATACATACAGTTTGCACCTGTCAAATTAGACCTTTCCCACCATTGCTATATTACTGCTTCACTGTAACTACATTTTTTGGCCAGAGTGAGTAGAAAATTTTCTCACTTCAAAAAGGCTTTTTTGCTAAAAACTGAGCAAAGCTTAAGGCCAAACAACATTCCAGGGTATGTAAACTTTTGATCATGGCCATTTGGATGATTTCTGTTATTATGATTTAAAAAGGAGACAAACAACTATTTGATAATAAATGGCTTCATATGATCATCATCCTTCAATAAAAGCATTTTTTTTTGTTTTTGCATGATCAATTGTATTTTCAATATTAATGCCAAAATTTCACAATTTCTGCCAGGGTATGCAAACTTTTTAGCAAAACTGTAAGTGACCCTTAAAGTCACTTATTTACTTTTACATTTCTGTGTCTAATCTGCTATATTTTCTTTCTTGCTTTTCTTTTGCTGATCATACCCATATTCTTGTAAATATCATTTAGTATTGCATGTACTGCTTACAGCTATATTAAAACAATGTTTTATGTTTTCTGGACAATTGCTCTTATTCTTAATTCCCTCACCCCTTCCTTTGCTCCTATATTTGTTAGTGACTATTTGTATAAAGACTATAAAGAATTAGAACACTCCTGAACCCGCTTACTACAAAGACTTAAGGTCTGAAGTACCCATTACCTAATTTTAGGCCAAGTTCTTTACAGATTCGTAGTTTCATATACTGTAACTTATCATTTTACAGAGTTCACAAATCTTTTTTGCAGTCCCTTGAAAAGTGTAAAATAGTTATGTAACTGTATGTGTGATTTCATTCCAGACTGCTAAATGTTTCGCATTACCTGATTTTCTTTTTTGCAGCTGCACTTACTAATGTATTTTATTTCAGCCCACATTTCCTGTAGGTCCAGCATTAGGAACAAATACCGCTATTAGCTTTGCTCCATATCTTACTCAAGTGACACCAGGTGTTGGATTGGTTCCAACTGAAATACTGCCCTCTACACCTGTTATTGTTCCGGGAAGTCCACCTGTATCAGTCGCTGGTTCTACTGCTACTCAGAAACTTCTCAGGACAGATAAATTGGAGGTACAGTTTACAATGTATCCTTAACACATTGTTCAGCAAGAGTCGGAAAAGACATACCAAGGTTCCTTTATACAGCAAAGTTTCAGTTTTAGAAATGTTGCTAAATAAACAGCTCAACTGTGTGATAGAACAGTGGGTTTAAGATGAACTAGGCAAAAGAATAAATATATTTGTCTGCAGACAGATTTATGTGCCCTAGTGTCCTATTGATACTGCTGCACTTGCTCTGCATTCCATTAAGTAAAAGAAAAAAAGTTTTGCATACTTTTTGAAAGGCATCACCTGATCAATGTGCAGAGCGATATCTTCTTATCCCCTGCAGTGCCAGTACTTGCACTTTTGGCCATTGATTTGGCTGCATTGACACTTGGACGATTTGTAGCTTGAAGCTGGAAGCTTCCAAAAAGCTCTGACTTAAATATCAATTGTTCTCTATGGTGTTTGTTCACACCTGATCACATGAATAAGCATCATAGAGAATAGTTGATTTCTTAAGTTTAAGCATTTTTGGAGCTTAGAGCTTCAAGCTACAAATCACTCAAGTGTGAATGCTGCCTAGGTCCATGCACACTGGCTTAAAAAAACCTTTAGAGCTTAGGGTTTTGCCTGTAGAAGTAGTTCATTGTTCTCCTATTTATCCATGCACGTTATGGTGTTTTAGAGGCAGAAAAAAGCCTTCTGTTTTTTGTTTTTGGGAGCAGTTTTCTGGCAGAAAAAAAAGCTGAATGCTCCTAAACTCTCCTAGAGGCACCTAAACTCCTGTACAAAAACACACTCTGGCGTTTTTTTTAAGCCCAGTGTGCATGGACCCCTAAATTGGAAAACCTTCGTAAGTAAGAGCTTTCAATGGTCAGTCATTTGTTATTACCACCTAGGGTAGCCATAAGTTACCTCATCCTCACCTCAGTGCCTAATTTGGGTGTTAGTTCAAGGACAGAAATGGATTGTTTGTGGTCACCCTTACCCAGGGGTTTATTTATTAGGACTAAAGAACATTTACTTAGTGAAGTTGGTGTTCACTTAACTTAGTAAAAAAGGTAATGTTCACTTTGAATGCCCAGTTATACTGTATGTGCAAGTCATATTTAAAAACTTGGTCATGATTGGCAGATAACAGTGATCGCTGCTTTATCTTATTTGCCAAACTAAGTGAACATTTAGTTTGCTAAGTGATACATCTCTACTTTCTTACTAAACCAACCCCAAAAAGTAAAGATCATTGACTTAGCTTTGCGAATAAAATAAATATGTGTGTCCTTGGAATACCCAGTCATGTGCACATGAAAAAAAAATAGGATTTTGGTTTCCGTCAGTTTGGATGACTGACATGAAAAAAAAAAAAAATCTGCGTATTCACTAAGCTAACAGTCATATGAATTTGCATACTGTGCTTTCTCTACTCAATTAAATAAGCTCTGTTGTCTCAGTATTTTATAATGAAAATAATCGGCAAATGCTATATGTGCAGTTCAATGTACTATCCTTTGACATTCACTTTATTTCATATACATAGAATAAAAATAAACTTCATATTTGATCTACCGCCAATGAATTCAATGTAAAAGGTGGTGTTGAATGGTTTCCACAAGATTTGTTTCCCTTTTCACTATGTCATTTGGGGTAAACTACAGCTGAGCAAAAGCAGGGTAAAGTCTGCTGGGAACTGTAGGCTTCTGTCAGCCATAAATAGGAACAGAGACACAAGTTCCATGCTCTTGTGCATTAATTTACAGTTCGTTAGTGAACAATAGCAGACATTCATGAAGCAAGCAGAAGTCAAGTTAGCCTCAACAATAAAGTGACTGTATACTTTTTTTATTCTTAACAATAGAGACTGTACACATTGTGTTGTGGGGTCATTTTTAACCTTTGCTTGGTCTTCTTTTTAAGTCGCATACTATTATATTGTAAAGAATATTGCATTTTTATTGTGTCCTTCTCTAATGTTTATTTTAATGTCTCATTGGGTTTGCATGGATTTGTAAAATTGTTTGAATGGCCTTTTAAACAGCAGCACCCTTTTTACGCCTTAGTATTAGCTATCCATTGGGTGTTGTTTTCCACAAGTATAATCCTTGATACAATGGCAAGGATCAACTATTTAGTTGTGGTTGTGGTACCCTGTGCTCTGAGATTTACACAGTATATGCTTCAAGCATGGCATATGTAGCAAGTAAGTGTTGGTTTATTCACTGCTCTAGAAATTGTTGTTTAAAAGATACCCATAAACAAGAATATTTAAAAATATGAACTCTTACCTCAGCCTTTTTTTCCCTGTTCTTTGAAAGTTGTCTTCACAGGCCCAGTCTAGTGCAAGCTTTGCACTGTTTATATTCAGTTTGTCTGTATCTGCATCTGCAGACAAGAAATCGGAGCAAGGAATTCTTATGCTCCACATATAGTATCTGTTGGGTTGGTTCAATGTCTTCTGCCAGGAGATTTCTTTGTTTCATCTCAGTTATTGGAGATTCCAGACTGCTAAAGCTGGCAGCCCATTCATGAATTTAGCTATAGTGCATAGAATACATATCTACCGAGTAAGACTAAGAATATGTAAGTGACCATGAACCCATATAGATATACTATATATTCTGATATCTAAAACTGGATGTCTAGGATACCATTTAATAAGCGGAAAGGCAGAGCATATTTACAGCACATTTATGCAGGGGCTCACTGTTTGTGATATCCACTGATTACAATAGTGAATTGCAACAAAAAAATCTTCCTTTATTATCCCCTGCCAGTGAAAAGTTTCAATTTACAGGTAGGTGAAGTAAATGCCTACCTTGTTACCTTGTGCTTAGAGTCTGTTACAGTGAAGACACAGACTAGTGAATGCAGACAGAATAATGTTTACACTGTCCTGTTAGGAAAGCGTGTTATTCCTAAATATATGTATAAGAGTTAAAGCGGAGCTCCACCCTAAAGGGGAAGTTCTGCTTTAAGGACTGCTCCCCCGCTCCCCATTAAGGATTGGCACCTTTGGGGGGGCGGGGGGGAGCAGGTACCCAAATTTGACAGGTACCCGCTCCCATTTCTGGTCCGATCGCCTAGGTGATCAGAAGCGGAAGGTGTCCTTCATCCCTCCCTGTAGTCTTTTGGGACACGTGACAGGTCCCAGAAGACTACAGGACCATTCATGAAGCACAGTGCTATTCGCACATGCGCAGTGGGTTCCTGGCCGGGTGCCCACACTGAAGATTCCGACCACCTGGAATACAGGACGGCCAGTGAAACGGGCTGCGGAGAACACACCGAGGGACAGGTAAGTGACTGTTTTTTTTAAAGGTCCGCAGCTACAGTTTTTGTAGCCGCGGACTTTTATTTTTTGACAGGGTGAGTGGAACTCTGCTTTAACATGTTTTAAAAGCAGAATCATCTGCTTTAAATGTGTGTTTAAAGAGTTTTTCTAAGCTATTAATAAATTTCACTCCTACTTCTGATCATACTTTGCAGGACCTCCTGTGAGATTTATTTTTGCCTCTAATGTCAATTGCAGGTGAAACCTAGCATGAAATTTATGGAGCAAACTTGCTACATATGGGGCCTATGGCTTACTGCAGGTTCAGGGTGATATAAACTATTTTAAATTAAACATTGGAGAGAAGAACTGGAGATATTTTCCAGAGTGGCTTTATAAACAAGCTAAACTGTCAAAATCAGTATTTACCAAAATGTACAAAAAAGTTAAAAATGTAATTGCACCTTTTTTTTTTTTTTTTAATAGGCCTCATAAGGGGTTAAAAGACATCAATGTATGCTTTAAAGCCCCTTTAAAAGAAGGATTTAATGAGACATTAGCTTTATGTGCAATAGTACAATATATATAAAACCTGTTTTTAGGCAGACTTTCAGTGATGTATCCTTGTGTGTCTTGCGTAGGTATGCAGGGAGTTTCAGAGAGGAAACTGTGCACGGGGAGAGACTGATTGCCGCTTTGCTCACCCAGCAGACAGCACGATGATTGATACAAATGATAACACTGTAACCGTTTGTATGGATTACATTAAGGGTCGCTGCATGAGGGAGAAATGCAAATATTTTCACCCTCCTGCACATTTGCAGGCCAAAATCAAAGCTGCACAACATCAAGCCAACCAGGCTGCAGTAGCAGCACAAGCAGCTGCTGCAGCTGCAACAGTGATGGTAAGTGCCAGTACCTACCCACATTTAGTAGCACTGTCAAAGTACGCACACTTTCTTCATTGCTTTTCTGTTACTCTAAGGTTCCTTATTGCATATACTGTAGTAAGACATTATTGTGAGGTGAGGAAAATAATGATGTTTTATCCAGTTTCTTGCTATGCATACAGGTTTCTCAACAGAACAGGAAAGGTGACTAAGGCTGCAGCTCTGACAATGCACTAAGATTTTTAATATTGTTATTACCCCAGTCACTACAAGAAAAGCTATTAGAATATTTAGAAGCTTTATCTGTGATGTCTGTGCAGGGGGGTGGGAAATTTCCTTGCAGGAGGTAATGTACTGTAACTATCTCACTCTATCCATAAAAGATATATATTTTTGGCTGCAATTGCTCTTTTAAGTCAATGTATACAATCGCTTGAAGTTTAAATAGTATGCATTAAATTGTATTATAGCTGTAGCTTTCTTAATTAATCACACAAATAGGCTTGTTGTAGTTTATTTATTTCAGGTACTTATATAGTGCCGTCGATTTACGCAGCGCTTTACACATATATATTGTATATTCACATCAATCCCTAACCCTCAAGGGGTGCACAATCTAAGGTCCCTAACTTACATTCATACATACACATACTAGGGCCAATTTAGACAGGATCCAGTTCACCCTACCAGCATGTCTTTGGAGTATGTGAGGAAACCGGAGTACCCGGAGGAAACCCATGCAGGCACAGGGAGAACATGCAAACTCCAGGCAGGTGGTGCCGTGGCTGGGATTCAAACCAACGACCCTAGTACTGCCAGGCGGAAGTATTACCCATTTAGCCACTGTGCAGTTGTCCTTTTTTTTTTTCCCCAGTTTTCACTAATGCTATTATAGCCATTCCAAATATACAATTCTGTCCATCTCTGTCTATGACCAGTAATTGTTCTGAACTCAGAGCCTTTGTTTAAAAACACATAATAATACAATTATCCCATACTTGTAATGGTAGTAATAAGGAATTTTACCTTGAGATTGTTTGAGAGCAAGACTTTGTGCCTTCAGCAGTGTATACATCAGTCAGCCTACTGTACCGTACCATATATGTATTATGTTTTTAAGCGGTTTATACATAGAAGAGTCATTGTCTATGTTAAGAGTGTGAAAAAGTGTGTAAGAATATATTATGTAGGTGGGACTTGTAATACATATCACATAACATGTGTGAATAATAGCTGCATTTTAATTCAACAAATGCAACTAACATAATTAGCACAAAACTGCCGCCCTCATTCCACATTCAGATTGGAGGCACTGAATGCAACCTATTGTAATAATAGTCAATGCAAAGTTTGTCTATAGTATTTTTAAAATAGAAAACTTGTACACCTCTCTATCTCTTTGTCTCTGAGCTCATAAAATTGTACATATGGCCATTTTTAAAATCAAGCTCCTGTCAAAATTAATTCAAGAGAATGCAAATCACCGAATACAATCAAAATAGGGGACACGGTTCTGTGTGTAACACTGGGAATAATTTACTAAAATAGGCTGTTAACTTTGCATTGGATGTTGCACTGCACAAGGCAATTTGCCCCAGAAACTAGTAAATGTGGAGAAATTTCACTTTTTTTTTTTTTCTCAATCTGTCATGTGCAAGGAAAATAGAACAACAATTTTTTTTTTAGATGATGGACAACAGCCGAGCTTCACCTCCTTCACTAATCTTGGGGGAAAATTCCCTTGCAAATTGAACAGTCTGTTAGCTTTTAGTAAATCAACCCCATTATCCTACGTCATGTCATCAATTTGGATTCACACTACTGTACTGCAGTATATTGAGCACTTGGCTCTATGTGCATTGTGCACATTCATTTCAAATGCAACCCTAATACACCTATATAGCAAATCATGTCACACATTCTTTTTATTGTATCACTATACACAGTTGTGACCTGTGTGTTGTGGTGCACTCCACTGGAAGAAAGTTGAAGGTGATCTGATCCCAATTAGATTTGTATCTTCATTTCCTTTCACTTTGATTTCAAATGTACTGGAACAGAACCTAAACAGATGTCCATAAGCCCATCTAGAACTGATATTACAGTTTTACATGTTTGTTGGGTGCTTGTATAGATTGGAGGTTATGTCTCTGAGCTATATCTGCCTAAGTTCCAAACTTCACCTACCTGCTGCAGTCATTATAAGGGGTTCTACACTTACTGCTGGATATTCAATTTATTAACATATCTTTCATTTCAGACAAATAAGCAGGAATAGTGAGATCACCTTCCTACCCCTTGTGATTCAGGAACTCTCTAGTCCTACTCCTAGTGTAGTAGCTGGTGTGTGTTTTGTGAGCTTGTGTTCTAGTGAATGATAGTGTTGCTCTCCAGCACAGTGATTCACAACATAGGCCAACAGTTACAATATTACTTTGTCTCTTCTGATCCAAAATATCTGGCTGTTGGGCGGGTATGTGCTCTTTTCAGTATAAAGGAAGATTGCAGAGGGCTTCGCAATTAGAGCACAGATAAGCAGAATGAAGAGGTGGTGGCTTCAGTGCTAGTTGTTCCTCCCCCCATGGAATGCCTATAAATTGGGCTTCAGCTTGAACTGGAGCTACAACCACCACTGACAGAACCAAAAATTTAATTTTATATAAACAACACTGTGAAAATTTGAACAAGAACAAATGCTATGTGCACTGGGTCCTGGGAAATTCAACAAGAGTTTTCAAATATTCAATATATACTTCTTCGGTAAGCATTCCTGTCTGATTCCTGTGCGATCCTCTGTAGGGCAGAACACACCGGAATGCACAAAAAGTAATGCATGCACTACTTTTGAAAATTTGCAATATCATGTGATCTGGTGCCTGCAGATGCTTTGCGTTTGTGATCTTCGGGTCATCTTTGGGGTACCTTAACCACTTGACCTCCGGAAGATTTTACCCCCTTCATGACCACGCCATTTTTTTGCTGTTCAGCACTGTGCTACTTTAACTGGCAATTGTATTGTCATACAACACTATACATAAATTATATTTATAAAAAAAAATTTCACACAAATAGCTTTCTTTTGGTGGCATTTGATCACCACTGTTTTTTTTTTTATTTTTTATGTTTTTTTTATTATATACATGATTTAAAATTTGAAAAACTCAAAATTTTCTACTTTTTATTATAAAATATATCCTATTAAAAAAATCAAATTTCTTCATCAATTTGGACCAAAATGTATTCTGCTACAGGCCTTTTGGTTAAAAAAAAAAGACAAAAAAAAACAATAAGTGTATATCAATTGGTTTGTACAATACTTATAGAAGCTACAAACTATGGTGCATATTTACTGGAATGTATGCAGTTATGCTATACTAGTATTGGTGGTGATCAGCGAATTATAATGGAACCGTGATAGTGTGGCGGGCAGTCTGGTGCTGGCTGGGAGGTACACTGACTGACACTGACATCATCATTTTTTTTTATGGTATGTGCTTGGGTGTAACTTTCAATTTTTACAATTAAAAAAGATTTTTGTTTTCTTTTTATTCACTTTGCTTTTTTTTCATCACATAGGGAACAATGTCCCCTATGTGATGATTATTTGGTGACAGGTTCTCTTTATTGAAGTGTCCAGGGTCTCTCCTGTACTACACTGAATGTAATGAGGTGCACATCACACTGCATGACATTCTTTCCTGGCTTCCATGGTTTGGAATCTCTCAATGGGGACCTGGAAGTGACATCATAACATCACTTCTGGGTCAGGACAAGGAGGAGAGGGGAGCGGACATGCCTGCTCTTCTCCCACCTCTCTAGCCGAAGGCACAGATGGGCAAGTGAAGCCTGGGAGATCTCATGGCGGGGGGGCGCCCGGATGCCGCCCGAATGCTTCCACCTGACAGGTGAGCCTGCTGCTTGCCCGCAGCAGGGCAAAAAAAACTGACCTGCCCGACACCCGAAAGTACATGTCCCGGGCGTCGGGCAGATATTAAAAAAAAAAAAAACAGATCACATGCAAATGTTTTGACTCTGAATTTACACTAGCTGTATAGTTAGAGTTCTACTTTGAAGTACCTGAAACAATACACATTAATTTTGATATTCGATAAGCATTCCCTGCTGGGATCATTTTCCTGTACTGAATATAGTTTTTTTTCTGTGGGTGTGCAGTAGTCATAGATTCTCACAGTCTTGTTTTCACACACTACACTGTTTTCTTTCTCTATCCTTGAAAAAGATTTTATCACAAAAGTACACCACATGTCCTCACAGCAATGAAGGATTTAGGCTGTTCTGCTAGTGCACTTGCCAGCTTCTGAGTCATGAAGACCTTTTTTTTTTCTGGGTAATATGGAACATTTGAAATCACAAGAAAATATATTTATATTGTGTAAAATTGTTGTCATGTGATATCAAGTGATGAAAGAAACATAGACTTGTACATATTGGTCCTCGTAATGAAAGGCATATTACAGGAAATAAGACACACAAACAATTTATAATAGGTGTGGAAATGTATTTAAAATACAAAATTCTTTTCTAAAGCATGCTGATAAGCCCCCTCACCTAGATCCATTTAGACACATTGAAAACCTTGGCAATACATTTTGAAGGGGTTTTAAAATGTAAAAAAGAATCTTGCTTTTGCCCTTTTATTTTTTAGGGCAGGATTTGAAAAATCCTGGTAAAATCTAGTGACCGAGGATGGTTTGAAGTTAGTGTAGACCTCAAAAGACCTATATCTCTGTTGTGGAAAAAACAAAACTATAAATAGCCTTTAGTCCCAGTTCACTATAGTGTGACTTCTGATGCGGCTTGAGTCACAACAGAATCACATGACAAGGGAAATCTCATTATTTTCAAAGGTGCTCATTTAAATCAATGCGATTCAGCATGGTGCAACTTTGTAAAAGGTTCCTGCACTGCTTTGTGCGGTTCACAGTGCGACTTGGCCCCACAGAATATGCATTGCATAAAAGTTGTACCGTAAAGTCGCACTGTAAATCACATCAAAGGCGCATCACAGTAGTGTGAACCAAACCTCATTTCTGTTAGAGTTGTCTAAAGTGCACATTAGCATGCATGCTTGGGTGATGTGAAATCTAAGTGAATCTTTGACAGGAATAGGTCTTTTAGCAATGTATCATTTAGATATTTAACCTATGGACACTTCTAAGGAAACAATAGATCACACATGACATTCCATTTATATTCAGAGTGAATATCCAATAATTTAATGCTATGTATTCTGGTAGGCAAACTCCCACTACCTCATGGCTCTAGTGTGATGGAAGGGGGGCATTAGGCAGGCTAGAACACCCTCTGTTTACTGTTCTTCCTTGAAATAAGTGAGGCCAGCAATACTGCTCTTTTACTGCCTTCAAAACTGAAATACATTTAAATAATCCTGCTAAGCAGAGGCAGAGCCAACCTTTTGCAAGTTTAAAAAAGCACTCTGCAGCATGCTATAGATTCGCTGCAGCCAGAGTAGTGAGAAAAACTCTTTAACCACCATATTGGCCATAAAATGTGCATTGAGCTGCAGCCATTATTTACCTGTCTGTTCTGCTGATACAATTTTTAATGCTTTATTTTAGATTTAGAGGCCAAACATAAATGTGAGACTTTGTGAATTGTACCCGTTATTTTGGTAAATTTTATGCTTTTTTTTGGCATGCATTTTATTCAGGTTGCTTTTTATATATCCACTTATGTTTTACACGCAAAATAATGCGCATCATTTTTGTTTAAGATACATAAAGAAAATGTTTCACTGTAATATCCTAGAAAAGTAATGAACATTTTTATGTTAGGCATTTATAAGGTATTCAGCGATTTGGCTAAAAGCTTTAATTGCTCTTGACAGAATTAGCTAAACATCTTATTTTTATGTTCATCTTAGCTTACAAGAAAAAAAGCATGGATAAAGGCTTACCACTTAGTCACTTCAAGTATACATGCATTGTAGACCACTGAACATGGAATAATATATTATTTAAAAGAATAACTTAAAAATCCTCTTTTTTGGCACCATTGATCCATTGACTAACACTATATTAGCCAAATTGTAAAGCTTTATAATTAATAAATAAAAGTTGCATGTAATTTTATATGCCTCGTCACAATTAAGTTTTCATAACAGAGCACTGACAGTGGTTTTGCCACTGCACACTACTGCTCTTGATACTTATTTATGATTACACTTAGTTTAATTTGACAGTCTGTAGTTCTTTTGAAATAAATTGTGTTAAAACGAGAAAGTGAGGGAGTAGAGCCCGATGATATGGTCTCTACTAAAAATGTGGTTTTGTTTTTTTTATGTTAGAGAGATTTCTGTCACTTCCTGCCCTAACAAGAAGTAAGAGAAGTCTCCCTGTAGGGGCCTAAGGCAGCAATGAAAAATCTAACAAAAACTTTATTTTTCCCCACTCTATCCAAGAAGAAACACCGTAAAACATTATGGCTGAAAATAGATTTTAATTATGAAGTTACTGTTAAGCAATACAAAACCACATCATTACTATGATTTACTAATGTCAAGTGAAATAACCCTGTGTTTGTCTTAGACATTCATATGTGCAGGTGAATTTAAAAAAAGATGGGGACTTATCTTGCATATGTCTGGAGAAAGCACAGGTTAACTTATATTTTCTTGTTTATTTTTTCCCCATTTATTTTTTTTTATTTAAAAAAGCACATGAAAATATTTTGTAGAAAATATTTCTGCACATATACTCATGAGTGATGAATAAGGTCTCATACATTACTATGAAGAGCATCATTTCTCTCATTACTGTAAATACTCAGGTGTGTATTTACAGTCATCTACTGAATACACCTATGAATTGCAAGTAAAGTATATTCAGCATTCATAAAAGTATTAGTAAGTACTAACCAGAAAGATCAAACACTTGCAAACATAAACGTTCAACACATTTAGCCTTAGTGAGAGCATACTTTACAATCAGATTTTCTATATATTTATGCTATCTTTATTAAGTTATAGTTTCCTATATATTTGTATGGAAATGTGAAGTTAAAATTATGATTGATGAAAGTATAGCATATCCTAATTTGCTGCATTAAAACTTTGACCAGCTAGCCCATACATAAAACAGCCTATTCATATTTTATTGTATGCACGTAGTATACTTATCTGTGTGTGAATTAAATGTCTACTTTAACATGGTGTAAATGTTGATTTTTGAAATATTATCTTGCAATACAAGAACTTGAAATGATCACCAAAAATAATATATTTCATTTGCTTTAAAGTTACTAGGCATCAATATACTTTTCAAGAGTAGTAAAATACAATGACAATGTTTTGCTAAGGTGGCAGCTAAAACGGTAAAATCAACTAACTTCTTGTCTGCCATGGTGGAAGGCATTTAATCTTGCTATGAATTGATCTGCAATTTGCAAATGCTTTCTGTAGTCTGAGAGATGCTATATTAATTTGATTTACCAAGTTTCAAACATCTGTATTTTACTCTCTTATCTGCTTTTAACTAAGGTATAGTAGATGCATTTTGCTTTAGTACTAATTCAAGGTGTAAAATTCATTTCTTTAAAGAAACATTTTTGTTGTTGTGCATGCCTAGTGTTTTATATGTTGTATATTGCATTCAGAATATTTTTTTCCTTCTCACCTATCCACAATGCAATGCCGTTCCCATGATGCACCTCTGCTTGCTGTTTACCTGTATGTTAATTCGCTTGAATCCCATTGGCCCACTGCCATCATGTGCTCGCTGCCTGTTATTAAAAGACGCAGTCGACTGCCAAAGCAATGAAGCGACCTCTCGAAGCAACTGTAGATCTGGTACTTTGACCTTTCACCTTTTGCTTTGCATGTAGCTTTTTTTTTTTCAATTAAGCAACTAATATTTTTGTTATTGCTTTTTAACATCATCTGAGACAACCAATGCATACAATTAATGTATAGGAGCTATCAAAGTTATTAGCCATCTTCATTTTCTTCATATATTAAAAAAAATATATTTTTACATTGGTAATACAGCTTCATTTTGAAGTACTTGTATACAAGATAGATGTAAGCAAGACTGCCTATGTTGTTATTGTCCAAGTCTTAAGTGAAAATAATTTTTGTTACATCAGAAAGCAATAGATTAATATTGGATTTTTTTTAATGGCATCCTACAGCATATGCATTCATATGTGTCCATATACAGTATGATATTTAAAATGAGGAATACATTTTGATTTACACAGATGCTAAAGTAATTGTATTTGATTTCTGTAGTCTTGCAACTACAGTCTTAATGTTAAAGAAACCATGCTTTTGCTACCAGTAACCAAATCTCACTCATTCTGCATTGCCTCAGTTTGAGTTAAGGTGCATGGCAAGGCATCTTTATTTTAATTGATATTTTTCTTTTAAATTTTATCACAATACATATTTTTCTTATGTGTGTATTTCAATGTGTGTCAAAACATTCTGATTGCTACAAGTATCATTTGATTCTTTTTTAACAGGCTTTTCCACCTGGTGTCCTTCACCCTTTACCAAAGAGACCAGCTCTAGAAAAAAGCAATGGTGCCAGCGCACTTTTTAACCCTAGTGTCTTGCACTACCAACAGGCTCTGGCCAGCGCACAGTTGCAGCAGCCTGCAGCATTTTTTTCCAGCAGGTATGTCCTATAATCTTTGTAGAAGAGAAAACACTTAGCACATATTTTTGCCTGATTTACTGATTGTGTGCTGTCAAAGATCACTATTTACCTGCTTAGTTGATGAACTATTCTGACTGCAGCTGCATGTGATTGTAAGTTTTAGTTACCCTCTGCCCATCTTATACACACAGCAAAACCTGTTGTTTTGTACTCTGAACTAATACTGAAGAGCAGGGTATGACAGAGCACAAGGCCAGCTGGTGGTACTGGTACTTGTTGTAGGTTGTACTTGGATATACTCAGGATTTAGGTGCAAGCGTTCCTTGTGAGAGATTGCACTTGATCTAGTAACTCCTGTCATCAACAGGTGTCAGCAGAACCTAATTATCTTTTTGCATTAGAAGTGTCTCGTACTCTGGGCTATGATGGTTGTTATGGAGAGGAAAACATCCTATTTGGATGCTGGCTCTCTTAATAGGAAGACACTTGCACATCCATACAAATGCAGTACTTACTGATAACCTACAGTAGAATGAGGCGGGATGGTGTTGCAATTTTCAGTGATTTCCTAATGGAGAATGTAGAGTGATAGGCATTGGTGATGAGGCTATGTTGTAGGTTATTGGTTCCTTTTGGTGGTACAGGTCTTGATGGTGACCATAATTGATAGAAGTTTGGAAACTGCAATCGAAAGGAACACATCATAAGAAAATCACAAGAAGCTAGTGATAATACTGATGTCATATAAATCAGTGTTAAATTGATTACTTTGTACAAAATTTCTGCCTCAGTTATGTACAAGTCTGTAGGTAGGCACACTTTTTTATTTGCAGAGTGACTACATAATAGACTATATGACTCTGTTTTTATAAGCAGAATGATGCATGGAAACAATGTCACTCTTCTGACAGCTACCAGTATATTAAGGCATGAATGTGCTTATTTTTGTAATTCAACATAGCTAGTTGGTAATATATTTATAGAATTTCCTTTTAAATGTGCCTGATAACAAGCTTTTATTTAAATTCAACCCCGAAAATTATATTTCTGCCTTTTGGTGGAAGTTGTCAAATTGAGTACCTTCTAATTTCTACTTCTGCACCAAGGTATTTAGGGTTATTCTGCTGCATTTTCCATAGTGTGTAGTAAGTGCAGAATACAGTGATATAGGCAGTACTTCCTCAAAAACTGCAAAAATCAGTTTCGGGTAAACTTGCCCTTTAGTTAATTGTGTCTGTGCCTGCACTAAAATGGCAAAAAAAAAAATATGTGCACTTTTATTATATTTCCCATACAGCTTAAAAAAGTGATGGCTCTACACATAATATTGATGGCAGTAGCAGTTTTCACATTGCATAGTCGGTGTGAGTTTTAAAGGACTTAAAAACATTGGAGCAAACTAAGAGAAATGAATCAAAGCTAAAATCCAGTTGCTGTAGGCAGTCTGATTACTTTTATTTGCCTCTTTTGCTTTTTATACATACAATAAGTCAGCTTTATTAATTCATGATAATATATTCTTAGTTAAATTAGAACTCCAGCTATGCGTTGAAATACATTGGGGTTAATTTACTAAAACTGGAGAGTGCCAAATTTGGTGCAGCTCTGCATTGAAACCAGTCAGCTGCCAGGTTTTTTGGCAAAGCTTAATTGAACAAGCTGAAGTTAGAAGCTGACTGGCTATCATGCAAAGCTGCACCAGATTTTGCACTATCCAGTTTTAGTAAATTAATCAACCCCATACAGTTATATAGATTAAACCAGTTATACTGCTGCCTATAATAGAAGTGGACATTTGGCACACAGAAAATGAAGGCCAGTCCCCTTGAAGTTATAACCCTTCCTACCTCACACCTGCTCAAAGTGGAAAGTTGAAATACACTGCTAAAAAAATTAAAGGAACACCTTTTAATCAGAGTATAGCATCAAGTCAATTAAACTCTTGGGATATTGATCTGGTCCGTTAAGTAGCAGAGGGGGTTGTTAATCCATTTCAGCTGCTTTAGTGGTAATGAAATTAATAACAGGTGCACTACATGGGCAACAATGAGACGATCCCCAAAACAGGAATGGTTTTACAGGTGGAGGCCACTGACATGTTTTTCCCTACTCATCTTTTCTGCATTTGGCTAGGGTCAATATCACCTCTGGTAGTATGAGGCGATATCTGGACCCTACAGAGGTTGCACAGGCAGTCTAAGTCCTCCAAGATGGCATTTCAATACGTGCCATTGCCAGAAGGTTTGCTGTGTCTCCCAGCACAGTCTTAAGAGTATGGAGGAGATTCCAGGAGACGGGCAGTTACTCTAGGAGAGCTGGACAGGGCCGTAGAAGGTCCTTAACCCATTAGCAGGACCGGTATCTGCCCCTTTTATGCAAGGAAGAACAGGATGAGTGCTGCCAGAGCCCTACAATGACCTCCAGGAGCCACTGGCGTGAATGTCTCTGACCAAACAATTAGAAACAGACTTCATAAGGGTGGCCTGAGGGCCCAACGTCCTCTAGTGGTCCCTGTGCTCACTGCCCGGCACCATAGAGCTTGATTAGCATTTGCCATTGAACACCAGAATTGGCAGGTCCGCCACTGACACCCTGTGCTTTTCGCACATGAGAGCAAGTTCACCCTGAGCACATGTGACAGGGTCTGGAGAAGCCGTGGAGAACGTCATGCTGCTTATAAAATCTTTCAGCATGACTGTTTTGGTGGTGGGTCAGTGATGGTCTGGGGAAACCTATCCATGGAGGGACGCAGAGACCTCTACAGGCTAGACAATGGCACCCTGACTGCCATTAGGTATTGGAATGAAATCCTTGGACCCATTGTCAGACCCTATGCTGGTGCAGTGGGTCCTGAGTTTCTCCTGGTGCATGACAATGGCCAGCCTCATGTAGCAAGAGAGTATGCAGACAGTTCCTGGAGGATGAAGGAATTGATACCATTGAATGGTCCCCATGCACGCCTGACCTAAATCCAGTAGATCACCCAATGGGATATCATGTTTCGGTCCATCCGACGCTGCCAGGTTGCACCTCAGTCTGTCCAGGAGCTCAGTGATGCCCTGGTCCAGATCTGGAAGGAAATACTGCAGGACACCATCCATCGTATCATTAGGAGCATGCCCCCATGTTGTCAGGCATGCATACAAGAATGTGGGGGCCATACCAACTACTGAGTACCATTTTTTGAGTTGCTGCAATTATATTTCAGCAAAATGGACTAGCCTGCTGCATCATTTTTTCACTTTGATTTTCAGAATGTCTTTGAATTCAGTCCTCTGTAGGTTGATAATTTTCATTTACATCAAGCGTTGCGGCATCATTACATTCCTAACACGTTACCCAGTTAATATCAGTATAGATATCCAGCATATTTCTGATGTGTTTTCAAAGTGTTCCTTTAATTTTTTTTGAGCAGTGTCCTTAGAGTATATATGAAACTGTTCACCTGCCAAAATATCACCAACATTTAGCCAGTATTTAGATTTTTACCACTGACAGCCATATTAATATTATACAGGATTTATATAGTGCTAACAGTTTGCGCAGCACTTTACGAACTTAAAATCTAAGAGGACATAATGGCTGACTCCACTTTTTTTTTATGACAGCTCTGCAGCTTTCTGCATCATCTCCCTGGCTGCAACCTACCCATTATGAATAGGCATCAACACACTACTTAAGTAATCACTGGTTCCCCTTCTATAAGCTATGCACCTCTACCTCTCCCCCAGCTCTCGGGTGCCTTCAACCACGTTAGTCTGGTACATTGTGCAATTCAGTAAAGCCCGATTGGCTCACTGTGGTTACCTCTTGTTCTCAGTTTGATTAGTACTGAGCAGGGAATAATTATTAAGATAACATATAAATATATATTTAGGTAGTCATATAGTTGGAGCCATTTTAGGAGCCATTTTAAAACCGAGGGCAGATATCACTATCTGCAGTCCACTAGACAGCGCATTGTAGGTCTCATTCATAATATGTAGGAGAAAGTATAAGTCTAAGTTGTCCAAATGAGTTTTTACAAGAGGCCCTTCACATGACTATTAACAGGTCAAGTCTTCCTGAACAATTTTTTTTTTTTAACTCCTTTATTCAGTTGATTAGTATTCTTCATTTCTTTGGTTTCCCAGAGTAAGCAGAGCATAAGACACATTTTTGTAAAGCACACCATTGTATTTTTTAAAAAATGTGTGCAATACACAAATAGTAAGGGCCATCTTTGGCACCAAGAGCTTGTGCCAAAAACTACTTAACAGTGCCAAGCCATCAGCAGAGAGATGAAGACTAACATACAATACTGCAGTTATTATAGGATGCTTAATTCAAATATTAGTTTGAGAATGACAGATATACTACTGTAATCCTTGGTACATTATGTTATAGCTTTAGTGCATGTAGCCTATGAGTGAATTTGCAAAAACTCTTTATATTGTAAGTAAAACCTGCCCTCTAAGCACCACCCGGCTCAATAAAAGTCAATTGAAACAGGAGCCAGGTGGAAAATTGTCAGCCAAACAGTGACTGCATCCAATCAGATGTAGTCACTGTTCGGATTCTGTCTAACAGAATACTATAGCAACCAGAGGATATTGTTCAGAATGAATGGAGGAATCTCTTGTTTTGCAGTTCAACTTTAATGTTATGAAAACGTTGTGCCCTTTTGTAAATCAATGCCTTTGGGGTCTGTGCACATTTGAGGTTTGTCTTGTAAACATTTTTAGATGTAATAATGTGTGAAAATGGCCAATCAGCTTTTTTGTGTTTTGGTTAATGTTTCCCAGGCACATCCTGTACATATACATGTACGAACCCTGGATATATTTAATCTGCAAAAAAGGGCCTCAATTCAATACTGTATGCCTTATCTGTCCAACAGCCTATGTGCTTTGCTATTCTTTCATTCAAATAAAACAAACATTATATAAAAAATAGAAGAAAACTACCCTAAAGCTTTTTACATAGTTAGGATTTGTGTCTTGCTCTGTTCTGCCCCCTTCGGCTGAGCTGACGTTCATTCAGCTGCAATTTAGAATGACCCCAACCCTGAAGTTAGGAGTCCTTGACCCATGTGATGCCCACAAATATTAATATAGCCACAGAAGCATTGCACTTTAAAACTACTATTGATCGTAAACATGCCATATTCCATTTTAGTACAGCTGTGATCCTTTCTTTTACTCTGCATTTCCTGCAGTGGCCATCCTTTGTAAGACCCCCATGTTTCATCTTTGGTTTAGTTTTGGTGTATAACAGCATAACACAGTTCAGTACAGCTGGAAGGGCAGCATCAGGCAGACACTTGTCATTTTACAGCCTTATTGAAAGGGATTGACTCTGCGACAAAAGATGCCTTTGTCACTGACTTATTTTCACTATTGTACGTTGGTTTTGGAAAGGCAATTTAATTCACTGAAGAAATTTAGATTACATATTATTAAGCAGTGGGTGAGAGATTTCACTTTACCTACATAATCCAAACATTTGAAAAAAATATAAATAAACCTTCATTGTTCAAATATGTACATTAATGCTACTTGGATGGTGATGTCCACCAAATATTTTGTACTAAAATACAGTTTTTACCTTATTTTAAACATTTGGCCTTTCCTAACCAATAATCCTGCCTGCAAGCAAACTCAGGCCTTATTTCCAGGCGATATAAGAATTTGCCCTACTTGATCTCTTTCAAATAACTTAAATTGACTCATTTATCTTTGTGTATAAATGTTCTGGGACTGATTTTGCTCTATGCTATGGTCCTTTAGTTAGCTGAAATTTGTTCCCCTTGCAGCTGTTTTATTTTAAGAATGTCGTAACAGCTCCTCTGTAACATAAATCCCTAAACCTAACCCTTTAAACATAATTTCTAAATAAACCTAACCCTTAAAAACTAACCCAACCCAACAACCTTTACTCCAAACTTAAGGCCCAATTCCTGCCAAGACATTTATTTTTAGTGTTGAATAGACTTCATGGGGTGGAAGAATCTAGTCTCTTACAGGCAGTAACAATGACCTGACCGAGATTTTTAACCCTTCTGCTTTAAATTTTTGGCTACAATCTTCCATATAACAATGTTTGAAATCCCCTAAAATGCACTCTGCTACTAATATAGGTTTACTGAGTTGTGTTTTTTTTTCCAAATTACTTAATATTCCTAACTGATAACATGCTCACAGATTAGATGTTAGAATGCCATCTAAATAAAGAGGGTTTCAGTCTTGACAAAGTATTTATAGTTTTTTATATGTACAATATTATCATTACCTCCCATTGTACTGTGCTTACATGAACTTTCATACACATTAAAAGGAAGTCTTTCCATTGTGTTTTTTTTTTTTATATATAAAAAGAGAAACCAGATTCATTTAAATAATCTAATCAATATATGTTAGTGCTATATAAAACCTCTTTTCTATGGGTAGAATTGGACAAAGAACCTTGGCATAACAGTGGTTCACACTTATAATTTTTATACATGGATTGAAATTCATCCAGTTCAGCAGGGGCTGGAAAAAAATTTCTATCCATGTACAGGCACTCTGGTTGTACAGAAGTCAATCTACTGATTTAACTTTTGTACAACCAAGCCTGTCAGGTTTTTCCCAATCGAACGATGCCGTTAGGCTATTAGCTGGGGGCAGGACTGCTCATTATGTTCTGATGGCGGGGTGCTCCATTGTCCCCGTCGTGCAATGCAATGCAATTTCGATGCAATTTAAGGTTCATGCAATTTTAAGGTTCATTACCCTGTGGTGATCTGAGAAATCCAAGTATATAAGTGGCAAAGTTAGTATGCATACTGCTGAGATTATGCATATGCGCATTTGACAAAACTCAAGATGTGTTCATTTTGATTAGCTCTGAATAGTTATAATGCTGCAACACTATAAGAATGCAGTTGTATCCAATTATAAAAAGTGTAGCATATCTGTAGTATATCCAAGGGTATTAGCAATTAATCTACTTTGCCTTGCTAAGAGTCTGTACTGTGCAATCCTCTGCTTGGCTACCTACAGGACCACCTATGCTTACAGCACTCCCAGACACAGTAGTCTAAGTACCGGACCTTTCACAAGTAGACACAAATTGTTATCAGTCACCATAGGAAAAACCTGCTTCTATGGTGGATTGTATTTGAGCACAGTGGACAAGACATTAAGCAATTACATTACCTAACATACATAGTATTTCAAGAAAACCTCTAGTCTTTACTACATTTTTGGAACTATATATTTTGTGCATCTCAGCATTGATGTCATGTAGATATTCTTAAATACCTCAGTATGTGTGGCAATGTTAAAAAAAACAAAACAAAAAAAAAAAACCATTCATGCATACTTTGCTTTCTGCTTAGTAATGCTGTACAGTAATTGTGCTCTACCCACACCACACTAAAGTCTGTCGGTCTTCTCAGACTAGTTAATAGCAATACCAGTTTTAGTGTAATGGCTATTTTGGTAGTGGTAAATAAAAAACACTTGTCTGGTATATGTGGAGAAGAGACATTACAGTAGTTGGGTTGATACAAGTTCCTCTATCCTCTAAGAATGTGAAACCATGAATGGCCTTAGTGATGTATGCACTCATTGCTGCCTATCTAGAGCTAAGCTTGAATTTCACTCAAAAGGTTAACTCTATGTTGCTAACTTGTTTCTTTCCCTTTATTCATTTTCTCCACGTTTCATTGCATGCCGTGCAGGGTCAGTTTTGTGCATGACACCAGCTACCAGTATTGGTAGGTTTCTATCTACTTTTTTGCCTTTTATACTACACAAAAGTGCATTCTGTGGTTCTGAATGTTTTCTAAAATGCTGTAGACACTATGCGGCTATTATGTGTTATTGTAGTCCACCATGCTCTGTAGATTATTAAATATCGTCTAGAGTAATGTCTTATGTCTCCTCTTTCTGGCTTTTATAATCGCATATTATGTTGAGAAAAGAATGGTGTTTTTACTTTTTGTTTATAATGTGTCTTGAATTTAATGAAAACTGAAGTGTAAGTAATATCATCTGTGTCTTAACGTCATAGTGTTGTGCTTTTTTTTTTTTTTCTCCTTTTTGCTATGTTTAGAATATTGCATCAGAGTTTCCCAGAAATCACTGCTACTACATTTCAAGATTGAAAAGCATGTTAGCAGACAGCTGAATGACAATATGAAAGGAGGGCTCTTAGTAGCTGAACAATTAAATAAAAGTCTAAGATACACTTTTGCACTATTTAATTTCGACAGGAGAATTATGCTTAAATTTGTTTAGAGTAGCAAAAGCTTTATACAGCCTTTACTGAATCTACAATGCAGATTTAATTAAACAATCTTGTATAACTCTTATTGTTTTGCCAGATTGTTTTTACACATTGATTATAGTTTGCATAAACTCTTTTGAAAGATCTGATATATAAAGCTTCATATCTTTGTATGGGGCAGCCATTTGTAGTTTGGGCTGCATACTGATATCATTGCAGTCAAGCTGAGCTCATTCAGCTATACTGCAAGTGATGGAATTCCTCTGAATCTAGTATATAGTCCAGGTGTCTGAGTAGGCTCTATCCATATGTTTTTTGGCTGCTTAATTTTTTGGAGCTCATCACCGAGCCCATGGGCTCAAAGTCTGGCTAGAATTGTGCTTGCCTTTGCAGTACCACGATCCAGCATCACAAAATTCTGATAGCAGTCTCTTCACACAGCTCCCACTCTCAGTAAGGAACCTGCTGATAACTATAATGTATAAGGGCACCGAAAAAGTAGAAGTTCAGTGTAGGATATTTAACAGAATCTCTTAGGAAAACCCAGTAACCCACAAATACCACTTCCATAGTAAGGGCACCATGTTGTATCTACAGTACCTTTAATAATCCTTAAAATGTATGACATGCTCAAACTCTCACTTATGTTCCTGTAACAACTCTAAAATTTAGAATTTCCCATCACTCTATGTACCAGAGACCCTGGTTACAAGGACAGATAGAGAGGGTGAACTCTAACATTCTAACACTTCCCCATTCTATATACAATTTTTCATTTTGGCTTTACATACATTTTACATGCTAAAGAACAACCTGATCTTGGTCATTCATTACAGATTCCACAATTTCTACTATGACTTGCAGCTATGCCCCCCTTTCCCCCTTCCTGCAATTCAATAGTCCAGTGTGAGAAACTCTGCATCCTTAGATTGTGAAGCGTAGGGGATATGCATATCTCTGAACTACAGGAGACCTGGCCTTTTTGTACAGTCATGCACAGAATAGGATGTGAAGATGAATAAATACTAGCAGATAACACCAGATGCTTTCTCTTTGAAAGTAGTTTTAGGCTGTTCACCTTTTAAACTACAGCTTCCCTTAAAGGTTTGGAATAGTAATATGTGTTGCAAAGGTAAGTATAGGTTAAGTCCAGAACAGCTCCTGCCACACACCCAAAGGTAAATAGTTTGGGTGTTCACCAGGACAAATAGAAGGATAAATCTTCCCGTTGAGGATCCAGACAGCAGTAAAAACCTGACAGCGATTATAGCGCTTAATTTCCCCAAAACTTGAGAGCAAAGTTTTCATTAGAGATACATTTTGGGGTCTATTTATGAATGTTATTTACTCAAGATTTGCACAACTTTCCCTCAGGATTTACACATTTTTAATAGTATTTAAATATAACCATTAAAAAAAAGTGTAAAAGTTGGGTAAATCTTAGGTTAAGACATTTATAAATAGACCAATTTAGGTCTTTGGACATGTGCTCATTAATTTAACATCAACATGAGCGCTCAAGAGGGCAACAGGATACAGTGTTAGTTTATATTTGTTCTACACACCTTGTCCGGGGCCATACTTAAAAATAACTTTAAGCTGCCTGCTTTTCAGTTGGCCTTTTTTTTCTGGGAATATCTGATAATATATTTTTACAAACTTCCTTTAATTGTACCTGTAATAAGCTTATTTTCCCTTTTTTTATTTCTCTCCCACGCTTCCTTGCTTTGCATTGTGATTGCATGCCATCTGCTGGTTTAAACCCATGATGGCTTGCTGCTATGTGATATTCACCATGCCAAAACCACTTCTATTACCATAATGCTACACCCTCCTGTTCATTGCTTCCATGGTTCCCCTCCTGAAAGTACCCATGATGCACAGCGCTTCGTCCGCCACTGTCTCTGCAGCAACAACTCCTGCAACAAAGTGTCCCCTTCGCCGCAACAGCCACAGCCAATCAGGTTTGCTCCTTTTAAAGCTTTCTTTCACAAATCCCAAACTCTAAATGAGTGCCAATTTTGTTAAAAAAAATTCTCCGCAGAATTTTTTTTATGTGTCTACCCATCAATTTTTTATTTTGTTTAGTACTATTCAGAGATGTGTTCATGACCAGGTTGCACTTATTCAGAGTTGACATTTTTGCAAGTATTGGTCTTTCTGTTTTGTGTTTTCTTGAATGTTTTTGTAATTAATAACAGCCCTGTTAAGAGGAATATTATGAATCCTTGTCTGTTTACGGAATCCTGAGCAAAACGAGATTACCAAAGTTTTATTAAATGCTAAATATTCATATTATGGTACTTTGCAGCTTTTGAATACTAAATAGTACATGAAATAATTGTTAAGATGGCTTAGACATTCTACACATAACTAATCTCAGGTTCTATCAAGTAGTCACTGCCAATAAAAAGGAATCTTTAGCATTCTGTAAGACAGTGGTATTTGCAAATGTTCTATTAATGTACCTAACACATCTCTCACTTTTTTCTTTTATCACGTACATTATTATTCAGCTTTAAAGATTTGTTATGTGACTTTACAGAAAACTATGCTGAATACACAACAGAATGCAGTGTTAAGAGTATAGTAATTATACCTCTTTGGTTTTGTTTCATAGGAATTAAAATTTTAATTCATGTGCAAATACAGTTAGTAAAACAGTAGTACTCTCTTACTGTCAGAAGGTGTCAGTAAAGGTAATTCTGTTGCTATTTACTAGCAAGTCAACAGCTACCCTTTAGAAACAGCAATAGTAACATTGATTCATGCAAGTCCTAAAGAAATTATCTCTGGTATGTCAGAGAGAAATTGGTTGGATTACTAAAAGCAAACATGCTGGTCACTTTGCAAAGGAATATTCCCTTAGATTAGTGATTGAGGTGAAGCTGAGTTTCATCATCCAATCATGTTCAAGCATAAAATTCAGGTTTTTTTTTTTTTCTTGCATGTGATTGAGTATTATGTGCAATGTGATTTTTTTCACCACATTTAGCCCATTTTCTTTTAGTAAATCAACCCCATGAATTAGCTCATGTAAAAATGATGCATGTCTTCACTGTAATAAAAATTTGGATTGCCTGGATTATTATTGCTTGGAAGGAAGTTCATCACAGTGCTTTGACATCACATGCTGAAAGACTGGATTATGGAAAGTGGAGCAAATAGAAGTTGTCCGTGGCAGTTATTTTAAAAAAAACACAATATTTGAGTGGTTGCAATGGTGACAGCAGCAGTTTTGCAAATCATGGATACTGTGCCTTGGTGTAAAATCTTTCTGTCAGTGGGTGTAAATAACAGGATGAATAAGCCAGTGCACATTTTTCAAGACATAAGCAAAAGATAATATTGTCAAATGTTTACATGACATGGTGAAGATGCATCTTTTTTATTTTAGGACTTAACAACTTTATATGTTTGAATGTCTTAAGATCTTGTATGGCAGTATCTGCTTTTTAATTGTTACTTCGGCCATACTGTGATGTACTTTCCCATTTTTTTCATCCAGACTCCATCTTACATTTATGGGTGCCTTTATATGCTTAAAGTGGTAGTGAAGTCAAAGTGGTAAAATCCACTGACAGGCAGGGGTTTTTATAATAGAAGAGCCTAAGGCTTGGTTCATATATATGCATTTTGCATTTGATGCTTTCTCCAGTGCTTTTTGCAGTTTGTTTTGCATTTTTCTACATGCTTTTTTTATGCGTTTTTAACGCATTTTGCATTTTGTTCAGTTTTTTGTTTCGTTTTTTTTTTTTTAGTGGAATTTTTTTTTTTGCTGGGCAGAATAAAAATGCAAAACGCAGCAAAAACGCACTACCATGCATTTCAGCAGCTTCTCCATTGAACTCTTATTGTAGCAAAAACGCTGCTTTTTGCTTTGAAAAAAGTCTCTGCCCTTTCCAAAAATGCGGCAGCTCAAAAAAGCTTAGATGTGAACATGTTCCATTGGAAACCATATTAGATGGACTGTAGTGCATTTCTGCAAAAAGCACTAAAAATGCATTGGTGTGAACAGAGCCTTAAGGTCTCTTCTGTCATAAATGTCCCCCTTGCCTGTCAGTGCTAATGTGATCTGAGCGTGCGCATGTGCAGCCCAGACCACATTTACGGCCTGCTCTGTGTGACATGGTGATGTGACTCCCATGTGCGGGAGTGGCATCACAGCAGCCGAAAATACGAAACCCGGAAGGAAGACTGAGCAAAGATGGAAGCCATGATAGCACTGCATTAGAGAGCTCCATTTGCAGGCAGGACTGTCATAATGTACTAGTATGCCATGCACAGTTTTGCTTCCAAAGCATTTTATTTTAAGTAAAGAAAATAAAGAGCTAGAAAATATGTTCATTGTGTATGTTACCTCACGAAAGTTCGATCTTTCGCCACACAACAGATATAGGTTTTGGCCCATGTAGAAGAAGCAACATAAGTTGTTTTTTTATCACTGGGATGCTCGTATTCTTTAAAGCACAGGCCTCAGATTAATGTTGTATTCGCTGCCTTGGCCTCGAGAGGACAGTATCCCCAACAAGCAGAATACTCAAAAGCCTGTCATAAAGAACAGTATTATGAGAAAAAAGGAATTCCCAGCTGTCCTTTAGTGCAGATTTGCATGTTATTTAAAGTATATACAATATGAACCTTTACCTTGTGAAACAACCTATTCAGTTTAAAGCAGAAATGCACAGAAAAATGTTTGTGTGCGTGTATGTGTGTGTGTATGTGTGTGTGTGTGTATGTGTGTGTATAATATATATATATATATATATATATATATATATATATATATATATATATATATTAGAAAATTATGAATTAAAAATTTTTTATATGTGATCACATGACCTCTGTTCTCAGCTGCATAACGGGCATAGAGAAATGGGGGTGGAGACTACAGCTGAACTCCAGGAATTATTTGTATTGTAAACTTGCCTTGGTCCAGCTTGGCACAATGTAAGCATGCCTATCTCATACCTGAGGTGGCGCTGGAGAAGCTGGAATTCACTGTAGTGGCTGGCGCTAGTACAATGATAGCTGTAAGTTTCTGGGTCCTGCCGAGATTCCATGAGAGAGATTGCCCCACTGACCACAGGGGGTCACTCTCTCCAGTGACATCACAGCCCTTCTATCCACCTTGTATTCATTGAAAAAAAATTCAGAGTGTTCTAGAAATGGCAGCAGTGCTGAATGCTGGACTCCCTGTGTCCTGTGTGGAGAGGGGAAGTCCAGATAGGAACCAAGAAATTGCAGCTACCACTATAGTAGCGCCGATCACTACAGTAATTTCCAACTTCTCCAGCAACTCATCAGAAGTTAGATATGTATACTTACATTGTGCTAAGCTGGACCAATGTAAGTATGTAATACAGACCATTCCTGGACTTTATCTTTAACCACTTCCAGGCTGCCTACCACAGATATACTGAGGCAGAGCGCCCCCCCTGCACCAGATCACATACATGTACGCCATTCTGTCTGTGCTGTTATTCAATACAGCACGTGCCGATCAGTGGGTCCTGGTCAATGATTTATGGCTGAAACCCGCTGATCGGTGGCTCAGTGAATGACAAAGGAGAGCCCTGTGTTAGTAAACAACACAGGGCTTTCTAATGTCAGCAGGTATGTGTGTTTTTTTTTTTCTCACTGCAAAGCAGGGAGTAAACACCGGCAAATTGCTTAGTTATACCACACACAGTAAACATTGGTAGGCAGGACAAGTAATCTTTTGATTGCCCCTAAATGTTAACTCTTTCCCAGCCAGTGTCATTAGTACAGTGACAGTGTATATTATTAGCACTGGTAACTGTATTAGTGTCACTGGAGATATCAGTGACATTTAGTCACTTCTCACCCAGTGTCTGTTAGTGTCAGATTGCCTGCAGTACTATAACCATCTGTGACATTCATCACTGCTGTTACTAGTATAAAACTAAAAACATTCCAGTATATATACCATAGTTTGTAAATGCTATAACTTTCACGCAAACCAATGAATATACACTTCCTGGGATTTTTTTTTTACCATAAACCTGTAGCCTAAGTTTATGAAGAAATTGGATTTTACAAATTTTTTTATTGGATATGTTTTATAGCAGAAAGTAAAAATATTTTTTCTTTTTTTTCTAACATGTTGGTCTTTTTTTCGTTTTATATAATTAAAAAGAAAAACCCAGTGGTAATCAAATACCAAAAAAAGCTCTGTTTCTGTGAAAAAATATATAAATTTAATTTGTGCACAGCATTACATGACTTTGCAATTGCCAGTTAAAGTAACACAGTGCTGAATAGCAAAAAACAGCTTGGTCATGAAGGGCGTAAAACCTTCCGGAGCTCAAGTGGTTAATACATCATTGTAGAGCATTAATTTGTAAGTTGCCTTGGGAACCAGCATGCTGAGGGTGCTTTGCTTGGTATATTACTGTATACAGTTCTGTATTTAAAGATAGTATATCAGGCAATAGAAGAAAATTAGAAATGTACTGTATTTGTAAATGGCAGAAACATTGATTCCAATACTGCTTTCACAAAGCAGCAGCCAGAAGGACAAATGATGAAAAGTTATTTGTAAATGTGATTTGCCCACATATTAAATTATCTAAAGTGTGCTAAAAGGGCAATTATATTTTTAATTAAATACCCTGATTGAGCTCATTGAGTCATGAGCAGTTTCTTTCTGAATACTTGCAGGCAGTGAGGTGAAATCCTGGGAACTCACTATGCACACACAAATAACTAAAAATTTGATTATTTATGACCTGTGAAATCATTTGTATTTTCATATACATGTGCAAGTTCTACACAGTTCTGAACAGAATGTAGTTTTTCATTACTTGCCAACACTGCTTTGTTTTTTTTGTGTGCTTCCAATCCACTTTGTTATTGCAGAGGTTTTAAATAAGAAAAAAAAATCCTTAACAGAGGATCAGTTCTCAGTATTTAACTTCTAGACACCACAAGTATTTTGA